ATTAATAAGCCTTTTAAAGGAGATGTTGGAATCAAAAAACAGAACTTCAATGTGAATAATGTTTTAATTCATTTTATGTATATATTGCTAACATGAACAGTATTATGTCTCCTCTAATGTGGCTCACCTGCTTCAAGCATTCATGGTGGTTTTTCTCCCAACGAACTGCATGACTGTCTCTAAAATGAATAAAAAGTAAAATATGAAAAAATAAATTGTTCAAACTGTTTATTAGCAAGTCAGTCAGCAGATGATTTAAATAAACCAGGGAGCAGAATGATCTCTCTCACCTCAGCATGACGTCATATTGAAAGCAGCCATAGTAAAGTTTTTCCAGTGTTCCTCTGATTCATGCATCATCATTCTATCACACACTGATCAGAAGATTTCCTGAATGAATTTCTTCTTAATAAATAACTTCCTCATTAGTTAGCTGTACAAAATACTCAGGCAGGTGTTTATTGTGTTCATCAGGTTGACAGCCTGGGAAGAATTTATGGAGACTGGTTTCAGTAAATGTTGCTTTGTAGCGCTGAGCTGATCTTAACTGTCCTTTTCCTGACCCTTGACCTGTAGAAGTCCTATAAGGAGCAAAGGTCAGTCCTGATCATCCTCTCTGAAGACCTAATTGATGGTTGCAGTCTGGACCTGTCCGATTTATTTAATCAGCCAAGCTGCACAGTTAAACACATGACTGAGTGAATAAAGGCAGTGTAGAAGAAGACCAGCAGCTTCTGGGGAAGGTTGGACTACTAGAGTTTCTACAAGAAGCAGCGTCTCTGTTGGATCTTCTTCTGAACAGTGTCTATGTGAAGAACATCTCAGGTCTGGAGGAATGCTGATTCCAAGCAACTGAAAGAGATCCTCAGCAAAGAGTTGATGATGGTAAAAGGAGGAAATATTTATCTGTGTGAGTTCTCTGGAAATTCACCACAACTATCTGTGAAAAATGGGATTTACTGCCTTTGCTTCTCAGAGGGATCAATTTATCCGAATGTCACCGTTTGTTCTATAGGTTAAACTTCCACAACAGCCTGAAGAACTGCAGGTGTCACTCCTTTTCAACATGCTGACCCATTTAGTCTCACCTATACTAGTGGTCATTTCAGGAAGTAGCGCCCAGACTGTGGCATTTACTATTTATGCAAAAACACTAAGATCATATGTGATGAGGAGGAGCAAATAAAAAAAAAATAATAATTTCCAAATAAACGTTAATTTAACTATGTACTCCTCCAAGTATAACCTGAATGTAATATGCAGATATGCTCCTGTGGGTGGAGTTTATTAAAGAACCTGATGTGTGAAATATGATCCATTTGGTATTTATTACCAACTCTAGTCTACAGGAATATAGAAACTTCTCTGAGTTCATAAGGTTTAGTAAGATTCTCTCTAAGCCGACGTTTTTCTTCACATCACAAAATAATAATAATAGTGAAGTTCAGTTCATGCAGTTGAAGATGTTTTACTGTTCATCAAACAGCTTTCTCAGTTCAAAGTTTTTGGGGGAGAAGTTTAGTAGTTTAGGAGGAGTTATTTAAACTTGATATAAAACTACATTAGCAGACTTATGGTTATTGGTAAGTTCAAGCATAACTGATTAAAAAAAACTTTAAATAAATCGACAGTCAATGTAAATTATTGAATATTATTCTTTGATTTTTTTTTATGAAGATCTGAGAAACAAATGTAAAATAAAAATAATCTTTAAGTCAGAGGTGTTTAACGAAACATTAAAAACAATGTTGAGTTCGGTCTAAGTAAATTAAACATTTAAATTTTAACCAGGGATCCATGAAAAAGCAGTTTAATTAGTAGGGAAAATGTATTTACATCTACTGTCAGAGTTTATAACCAGGCTAATACCACTGATACTTTTATACACAAGAGATAATCTTTAGAATCAATACAGAAATTATTTCTTTCTCTGTAATTCAACGCTTGGTTTAGTTGTTTAGCCCCAATAAAGCTGCAGCTTTTACTGTTGATTAGTTTAAGAATAACAGAAGGTTTGAGCAAAACTACAGTTTGTTTTGGTCTTAGTTACACCTTCCATTGTTTCTGTGCAAAGGAAACCTTCATATGTGTCTATTGAACAAACACTAATGTGGTTCAGTTTTTGATGAGTGCATCAAAAAGTTCAGAAATAGCTCAATTTGTACAAAACAAACAGCTTTAAGGTTAAGCTTTAAATTATTTTTTTTCTGATGTAAATACCACTTTATGCGTCAAAAAATATTAACTATAAGAAAGAAGAAGGAAACATATACAGTCATGCTAAGTTTTGGCAGTGACACAGTCTTAATCAAAATATATTTTTATTTTAACGTACTATTACAGGCTAAAGAGTAAATGCTCATTTCATGAATAGTAAACAGTCTTTTTTTAGCCTATCTTTTATAAATTTAATGTAAAGAGTAAGTATGTTGACCTTTCATCACAGCTTCAGTAATTACTCCACTGTGGGTCATATACATTTAGAGGAATAGCAACCTGTAGCCTCTGCATTCCCCATGTAGGAACAAAACTACCTATAAAAGATCATTTTTGATCATGAATGCCTCAGCCGTTGATGATGAGCAAGCTCTGCACTGGTGGCAGCATGATTGTGTACTGAACCCTTCAGCAGGAGGAGATCGCAATCCTGGAAAATGCCAGAAAGGATTGTTTTAATGTTTTAACAATTTTAATGTGCTGCCATTTTGATCCCAACTACTAGTTGATGGATGCTTTTCACTGAAGGTAACCTAACAGTTATATGAAATCTGCTCGTTAAAATGTACAAATATTTTCCAATGCAGTTAGACCGGTCTTTCACACCTGTGATAAGTATACTTGAATAAAGTTGGCTGATCTCTTTCTGCCAGGGGAAAATTAAACTGAAAAGGGAATTCTTAGTACATTAGTTTGTAGTGAAAAGTATCCTGGAATATCAGGACAAAAGCCTGACAGATTAAATAACAGTTTTTATTATTGTCCAAACTTTTGGCTGATTTTAAAGCTGCAGGTTTTCCATTGATATCATGTTGTTCTACAGCTCAGAACATCAACTCACACCAAACTAATCCACTTTGTTATTTGCAGCCTACAAACTGAATCAAACCCATTTTGGGGTAACAGCACCAACAATACTTAGCTCATTAATGTGCTTTTTATAATTAAATAGATTTAGAAACATTAATGCTGTAAATGAGTGACTATGGACTGAGCAGCAGACATAAACCAACACATTTACCTGTAGAACAGAATCTGTGTCCTGTAATCTCTTTATCAATAATACAACAGTGAATACCTATAATTGACTTCAAACAGTTTGATTTCTAAAGGAATTCTGGTTTTGTCTGCTACAATTTCTATAATGAAATTAGATAAATTGTTTAGATGCACTTTCAGTCAAATAGAATACATTTATATAATCCAGAATTTTTAATGATCGAATCTCAGCACAAAGGAGCTTTATCACACCAACGCAACAAGTAGGTGATCAAATCTGATTAACTTTAACTAAGCCTTTTAGTGGATAAAACAAACAAACATAACAGACCCAGGAGAAAATGATCATAATGACAACTGTAATTCATTAAATTTGAGTCAGTGAAGACAACATGCAGAATTCTGAAGCCTTTACATCTGTAGAAACAGCAGCAACAGAAGAGGAACATTTAAAAACTGATGGTGAACCCACAAACATCGTCCACTAAACGTACTGATTAAACTTTGAAGGATGGAGTGGAGGCCTGCTGGTTAGAGCAGGAAGCTTGCTTTCTGAGAAGGCTGCAAGTATCTGGTTCAAACCCCAAAGCCAACCTCTCTGGGCCCCTGAGCAGGACTCTCAGAACCCAGATTGCTCCCAGGCTGAGCCGGGCCCCCCACTGCTCCCGAAGGGATGGGTTAAATGCAGAGGTCAAGTTTCACTGTAATGTTCATTTGCAGAAACCAATAAAGTTGATCCTTAACATCTAGAGTACAGGATGTTTGTTCAGAACAAATCAGAGTTCAAATGAACTATTTACAGCAGACAGTGAGACTGAATGAAAGTAAAAACGGCATCAACAGGTTTAAATCAAATCTTCTGTTTCTTAAAAATACAGCAAACAAAATATAAACAAACATGTTCATTTATGAGTAGAAACCTTGATTTCGAGAGCTGCTTCTCCTAAACTACAAGAGCTTCAGTGACAGTTGGTCTGTGGTTGTTTTCAGGTATTCACCTCTGTGGACCGCTCTCCATCTCTGCTCTAGTGTCAGACTTCAGAAAGCAAACATGCATACAAACATCACCCTGATTTAAGAAAGAATCTGTTGTTACTTCCGTAAAAATGATAAAGTGTATATTTATTGTAGCTAATATTCTCTTTAAATGCCCCTGCACAGTAAACTATACATGTATTTACAGGTTCAACAGCAGAACCCTCATCATCTAAAACAAAACTAATCCAGTACATCTGCACAGCTTTCAGTAAAATGGGATTCAAAACTGAATTTCTTGTATTGTTTATGAGGCTTTTCTCCACCTTTCCAATAAGTTCCTGATTATCAAGCTGCTAATTCAGACTGAGAAAGTCATCATTTTGCACAATTCTACACCAACTTCACCTCCAACCTTAAGTATAAACTTTAAATATAAATTATATATCATTTAACTTTATATACTACTTATTTTTTTACAAAAATACCACGGGACAAGTTCCATCAAGGTTGAAATTTGTCTTTAAATTTAGCAGATTAATCAGTGATTCAGTTTATTTTTGGGTTGGTTGTTCTAGGCTTCCAAAAAAAGCAATCATTACATCATAATAATTTAGATTTTTCATCTGATTTTCTTAAAAAAAACTTTTGCTTCATCAGTTTTTTCCTGTCAATATATGGAAAGTAAAACTTCTATATATTAATAGAAAGAAACATCTTATGGTTCTCTGTTCCTTTCTTAAAGTGCCATTTACCTGCTATCATCAGAGAGAGGTATAAAGGAAAGAAAATCCTGTACAAACTTTAGTTTTTTAAATTCCTATCAGTAGGATGAAGTTTGATTATTTTTGTAAATAAAATTCGAATCAGTAACATCTGTACAGTTTTGGGGAAGTGGCAGCATTTGGAAATGTCTCTGTATCCTGATGGATGCTGAATGAGGCTGCATCAGTTTATCCAGAGATGAAAGGAAAATGTTCAGATATTGAAACATGTCAGCTGCCTGTACAGGACAGTCTGAGAGAAAACAGATCAGCTGAACAATCAGTGGTTCCTGCAGGACCTCAGAGGAGAATCAGATTGTTTCTGATCCAGTTTGGTTCCCTCTCATGTTTCTGATCAACAAGCAGTTCCTGTTCCGTTTCTCTGAGCCATTTCCAGACCTCACTCCTCACTGATGCCGTGCTCCCACGCCACCTTAGCTTGTTCCTCCTTGGTTGCTGCGATTATGGGCTGGGAGATCTTGCGTGGCATTGGTCGAGGTACAGGAGGGCGCTGTGGTCCGGACTGCGTGATCAGTGGGTCCTCCTCAGGAATGCAGCCCTCTCTGAGGTAGGGTTTAGGAGGCACAGCAGGAGGGGGCTCATGGAGATGATAAAGCGGAGGATTGTGGGGGATGTAGTGTGGATGAAAGTGGTGGTGGTAAAACAGGTGCTGCTGCTGCTGCAGCCCATCCTGCTGTTGGGGCTGTGGAGCTCCAGAGCAGCTCAATCCTGGAGCCTGAGACTGGATCTGATAGGCCACCTGGGCCGGGTTGACTCCTCCTGGGGCAGAGTTGCTGCGGCAGGGAGGAGATTTAACTCCCTCCAGGACGTCTGGCTCAGACATGCTGTACCTGACGGGCTGATAAGGAGAGTCCAAGTCTTCCTGGTCGGTGGTCCAGGCCTGACTGCTGGGGGCGGACTCCAGGGTGTCTGTGCGGCTGGCTGGGGGTTCTGAGGAGGAGGTGGCGCAACCAAAGTTGCTCTCACTAAGGGAGGAGACTCCAGAGCTGGCGCTGCCTGAGAGTGTGGAGTTACTGCCATCCAGGACGGACTGTGGACTGGTGGGCGAGGCAGGTATAGGGTGCAGGGGAGACTGGAGACAAAGAAAACACATTTATCTGCACACAGTCACCACTGACTGGGTCTATCCAGAATCAATGAAAAGGACCGACAGAATAAAGAATTCACAATCTGCCTTTTTAATCAACTGGTTAAAAAGGATCCAAAGTATCTAAAGATAACATGAAGTTGTTGAGTCTCATCAACCTGTTCATTTCAGAGTTATTAAGAATATCTCTTCAGTTACTACTGAGAAAAGCATTTATAGATGAAGATAAAAATAACCCCTCAATACAAATATTCATGTGTTTCTTAAGGAGAGTAGACAGACAGATGTTTAAACATCCAAACTAATAGAGGGAACTGGGAGCACTAGCAGGACCAGCAGGGTACCTTTCTTAAGGAGCGCGCAGGGAGAGCTGGAGGGAGGTCGCTGACCTGGTGGTGGAAAGCGTCAAAGTGCATCGACAGGTGTTGCCCTACAGGGGGAGACACAGCAGGACTGACTGAGAGATCCAAATATCTCAGGGGATGGAGGAAGGAGAGAGGTTCGAGGAAGCAGGACAGAGTCGGAAAGAGAGGAGACAATACAGTGCAGAAGAGAGAGGTGGAGGAGGAGGAGTTTATAATGAAGAGGTGATAATTGAACCTGTTCTTTAAAAGTATTGTTTTAAGGGTTCCTGTTTGTCCACGTTTAAAAAGTACAATTCTGTCCAACTTCCATTTCTCCACCTAACAACTATCTATATATAACATTCCTCTGGTTTTCCAAATGCAAAGCATAAAGAATATCCCCAACATTCAGCAGGGAGACTGTAGGCTATTTTTTGCAGCTTCAACTGCAAGAGATGAAATGTAAAAAGAACAAAACTTCTGCTTTATGCATGAACATCTCACATTACCATTTACAAGTAAGCCCTGAAAGGAACTCTGAGGAAATTAACTGAACAGTTGCTTCGGTGTTAAAGAACACTGATAAGATATAGTGTCAGTGAAGTGTCTTTATGTCATTACTGATAAGGGACCAAGAGATGGATAAAAAATTTGGAGAGGTGGAGCTACGTCTGACATGTGATATAGTCACCATGAGCCATCCCCTTCAACAGTTTCTTACCATGAAGAACGTTCCGAGGTGGAACCGGTGGAGCCATCACGCTGCCAACATGGGAGGAGAGGAAAGGCAGGGCCTCCCTGGTGCCACTGTCCAAACTCCAACTGCTAGGAGTGGTGAGGACTGCAGAGAAGATATAGGAGGATATTTTAAAAGGGCTCAAATTAAGTCTTAATTATACTTTCTAAATTGGGATGTATGTTCGGTTACCTTTCTCAGCCACTGAGAGGTTGGGGTCACTGCAGGGCTTACAGGGACCGATTACTTGATGAAACAAAGCTCTCTGAAAGTTTGGTGGCTGGAAAAAAGGCAGAAACTAATGAAAAGCAATTAATGGCTGCTCTAATAATAAGGCTACCAGATGATATAAAGCTGTTACCCTTCAAGGAAAGATTTTATAGAGGGCTATCTGTGACCATCTGTGACTATGAAGAATGCAATTTTTCATTTTTTAAGAATGCAGCTAAGATAGTGAGTCAGTGAGGTGTCTATATGTCATTACAAGTGAGGGATCAAGAGCTGGAAAATAAAGGAAAAGTGGAGCTACTCTTCAGACGTGATGTAGTCACCATGAACCATCACAGTCCTGTCTGTACCTGTCCGTTCTCTGTAATGTTGGAGTACATAGCGCTGCTCGGCCTCTCTCTGTGCGGTGGAAGCAGCATCAACATTTCTCTGTTGTGCCTGTACTTGTCTGGCAGAGAAGGAGAGCCCACTGGGGTCAAACATGGATGATGTGGTTGGCAAGGAGAAAAAATAATTAGCAGAAGGATAATAAAGAACATTTTCTTTTTTATTTGGTGTATCAGACGAGGAAACCTGATGCTGTAACAGCCCTGATGGATCTGAGGCGCTCACCTCTCATTGTGGAAGAGACAGAGTTTATCATCTGAGGAGGCGCAGAGTGGGTGGAGCTAAGACTAGAGGAGGAGGGACTCGCCTAAAGAGAGAAATAAAGATGTAATTCTGTAATATATGAGTTTTAACAACCGTTGAAACTAAAGCTGGAGGAGGTGTCTGGAGAAAGGGAAGTCTGTGAGTCTCTGGTCCAGAATAAAGCGTAAGATGACGAGGACAAGATTTTTTTTTGTTTGTTTATTTCGCTTATTTTAATATATATAAATGGCGTCTAAAAACTGACCTGCATGCGATAGAAGTCCTCAGGGTTCTCCACCACCATGCCATCAGCCAGAATCAGCAGATTTCCTGCCTCACTGGAGTTAGAGGAAAGAGAAGGGGAGGAAATGCGCACTGGAGTCAAAACAGCAATGGGACTGGGAGAGGGAATACAACCAGGAATAATTTAAATGAAAGGGATCAAAGGGGGAAAAAGTGTGGAGGAAATGCAAAAAGGAAGGATGGGGGGTGTAGAAACCACAGGCAGAGGGGCCATACAGATCGCAGAGCAAAAATAATTGGCAGAAAGAGGCAAAAAAAAAAAACATCCAAAATATACATGCAAGTTAATTAGTTTAAAAAAAAAATCACATTCCAGAGCATCCAATGGACCAAAAACAGAGTTAAATCAATTGGGAATGACAGACAGAGAGAGAGAAAAATGGTTTAAGTTCAGCGAGTGATAGAAACTAAACACAAACAGATTAGATCATGAATGAGAATCAGCGGATGGCAGCAGTGAATAGAGATGGAAAAGAATCAATAAGAGAAGCTGTGTTTTAAAATAATTCAACCTTTTAATTATAAGGCATTAAAACGCCTTACTTGCCTACTCTGAATTAATGCTGTATTTTTGTCCTGCACAGCAAAAGCAGGGAAGAAAAGATTACAAAGTAACAAAGCTAAGGAAGTTAATGGTTCCCCCAGTGATATTTTGTCCAATACAAACAGCCCCCAGGGTGAATTAGTTAAAGTTTTAGAAAGAAATATTGGGGACCTGGTTTCAAATCCTGGTTTTATCAGGAAAGGGACCTATGGAAAACTTTTCTAAGACTTTGAGAAAGTTGTAATGACTTGCTATGGCGACCTGTGACATGGGAGCAACTAAAAGGACACAAACGCCCGATACACATCTTCTAGGCTGTAATATCTTCTAACAGCTTCTCTGATCATAAGCTTTAATCAGGTTTATAAAGAGAGAAATCCCAGAATGTTCACTATCAGGCAGGATTTAAATACCTCACAGTGGAAGGTGTTACAAAATATTTTTCCCAGAGTTCAAAACCACTCTATTGGTTGCATTCTTATTTTTTGTAGTATAATGTACATACATTTTAATTTTCAAGTTAAACATGTCGTATTTCAGTGTAAACTGGAACAGCTATCTTTAACTCCCATTTTCTCTCCATTAATAATTGCTCCAAAGATACTGAAGAACCCTAACCTGCAGAACCACAGTTATCATTGATGAGGATGTGAAAACATGGCTGTGGGATAGATGAGTATGGCAGCCTTTGAATGACTATAAATTGAAATAACCGTATAGTGTTAAACATCCAAAGAGAGCTGAAGCCTTTCTGTGTGAGTGTGTTTGCTGCAGACCTGTGTCGGTGCATGAGTTTGAAGCTCTCTGGGCTCATTGGGTTGTGAGAGGTCAGGATTCCTCTGTTGACGCCTGAACCTGACTTATCAAAACCAGGTGGACCCTGAAAGGTAACATAGAAGCCCTGCTCCGATTATTCATACTGTTCATTTGCTGGGACACACTCTGTGGTAAAAAGCAAAGAATATTACTTAGAAAGGCATCCTAGAGACATCCATTTAAAAAAAAGCTGGATTGTAAAAGCTGAAGGAATCATTTTATAAATTCAGGAGGTTAAATGTTCAGGGTTGACAGAGTTCAGATCCAGAGCTGTGATGTTTGCTTCAGGCAGAAAACCTCCACTTTAAGGAACCAACTAATTAGGCCCACTATGACATGCAAATAAATAAATCTTCTTCCAGACATACAGTTGGTTCAGGTTGGCTTCATCATAAAGAGCAAAACAGAATTATTATTGTGAGATAATAGAGATTGTGGACATTAATGTGGACTCACATGGAAGAGGCTACTCCTCATCATCTGGAACTGATCAATCAGCTTCTTGTGCAGCGGACGCATTTCTGGGTGCACCAGCTTCTCATGCACAGCCAAGCCGACCCCTAAGATGTGGACCTACACATAAAAAATGTTTTTTTTTTTTTTGTTAACAAATTGAGTCAACAT